GGGGCCCGGTCACGAGATCTAGGAGCCGGGTGCAAAAGGCACCGCTCCTATAAAAACAGCTACCCCACTGATGGCTAGTCACCCTGACGAAGCCGGCAGGAGGCCGGCGAAAGCTAGGTGTTTCAATGTTTTAATAGCAATAAATTTTTGTAACTTTTTAATCTCCTGGTGGTCTCACTGCTTGTGACCCTTCGAACATATATATATATATATATATATATATATATATATACCGTATATACTCGAGTATAAGCTGAGTTTTTCAGCCCATTTTTTGAGCTGAAAAATGCCCCCCTAGGCTTATACTCGAGTCAATATTTTTCCCCAGTTCTTTGTGGACTTACAATATCCGAGCACCGTTTAAAGAGACGCCGAAGGAAGATGGTGCCCAACTGCGCGCCTTTCCCCCTTGGCGGGGTGGTCTTTTGCAAAGTCTTTTGCTCGGATATTGTAAGTCCACAGCAGCGCGGGCGGCAGCAGCGGCGTCAGCGTCTCCCGCTCCGAATCCCAGGCTGGAGTCAAGCCCTTTTCAAAAGCGCCAGCTCGGGAGTGAAAGCAAAAGGGGCGGGGGAGTGGGGCTTCGTTCACGCGCGGATCCCCTACGCTCGTATTTATTTACCGTATTATGCCCCGGCTGGTGGCGGCGGCAGCAAAAACAGCAGCCTCCTTCCTCGGTTAGCTCCGATTCCCTCCCCCCGTGTCGCCTCTGAGCTGCAGGACTCCGCCGCTTGCTTTATAAACCCTTGGCCGCTGCTCCATCTTTTCTTTTCCCACCAACCGCCCCCCCCTCCCTCGACCCCTCCCGCTTTGCAGAAACGCCTGGATAGTGAGAAGCTGGAACCGGGTGGGCGGGCGAGAGAGGCGGGCAGAAAAAAAAGGGGGGAAATCCACACATGCTCGCGCAGGGAAAGGGGGAAACGGGTGGGCCGGCCGGCTCCCCTCTCCTCTTTGTGTTTGTGTGTGTTTGTCTCTCTCTCTCTCTCTCTCTCTCAATTCTCCCCCACCCCAAAAGCGGGGAGGGGGCGACCTTGCAAGAGGGAGGGGGCTTCTCCCGGTTGCGGGGAAGGCTGGAGGTGCGCCTTTCTCGGCCAGCCCGGGTAAATTCGGCCGTATTCTTCAATACAGGCCGGCCCCAGCAGTTCCGGTTGGTTGCCGGCAGTTGGCTGTTCCTCCCTGGCTGCCTCGCCCCCCCCGGCCCTGTCGGTGAGCGCCCGGCAGGGCGCAGCGTCACCAGGCCTCCCCCCTTCGCGCGAGGCGTCTGGCGTTCCCCCTCGCGCTTGGCTGCGGCGGCCCGGGGTATTCCGTCCCGGCCTCGACACGCAGCGCCGCAGGGAACGGAAGGGAAGGGGGGAGGGCCGTACCTGGAGCATCACAGGCCGGGGCAATGCCGGGAACGAGCTGGGCAGCCGCGGCGGCGGCGGGAACGAGCCGGGCGGCTGCAGCGGCGGCAGGAACACGCTGGGCAGCTGCGGCAGTAGCGCAGCCGCCCAGCGTGTTCCTGCCACCGCCGCCGCCGCCCAGCTCATTGCCGCCGCCGCCACCGCCCAGCTCGTTCCCGGCGTCAGCCCGGCCTGTGATGCTCCAGGTACGGCCCACCCCCCTTCCCTTCCGTTCCCTGCGGCGCTGCGTGTCGAGGCCGGGACGGAATACCCCGGGCTGCCGCAGCCAAGCGCGAGGGGGAACGCCTGGCGACGCTGCGCCCTGCCGGGTGCTCACCGACAGGGCCGGGGGGGCCGAGGCGGCCAGGAAGGAACAGCCAACTGCCGGCAACCAGCCGGAACTGCTGGGGCCGGCCCGTATTGAAGAATACGGCCAAATTTACCCGGGCTGGCCGAGAAAGGCGCACCTCCAGCCTTCCCCGCAACCGTGAGAAGCCCCCTCCCTTTTGCAAGGTCGCCCCCTCCCCGCTTTTGGGGTGGGGGAGAATTGAGAGAGAGAGAGAGAGACAAACACACACACACAAAGAGGAGAGGGGAGCCGGCCGGCCCACCCGTTTCCCCCTTTCCCTGCGCGAGCGTGTGTGGATTTCCCCCCCTTTTTTTTCTGCCTGCCTCTCTCGCCCGCCCGCCCGGTTCCAGCTTCTCACTATCCAAGAATACCCTTCCAGCTGACGTGGGGCGTGTTATCAACTATTGCTCCTTTGTGCAAAGTGCTACAATTGCGCGGTTACCAGAGGGGTGGGGTTGCAAAGAGGCCGATTAGCCCAGGCGGAAAAATGTGTGTGCTGAAAAATGCCCCCTCGGCTTATACTCGAGTCACCATTTTTTCCCAGTTCTTTGTGGAAAAATAGGTCCCTCGGCTTATAGTCGGGTCGACTTATACTCGAGTATATACGGGTATATATATATATATATATATATATTTGTTTTCTGAGGTTTTCGTGGGTGTTTGTATGTAGGTCTTTGGTCATTCGGGTTCTCTCCCGCGTAAAATTGGAAGTATCCTGGCGACGTTTCAACGAAGTCACATTCGTCATCTTCAGGCTGGTGTCTTCAGCTTCCTGCTTCTGGGAGTAGTGTGTGTGATCGCAGCTGTTTCTTCCTTTTAACTGCCAGTGGGGTTTGAGCTGATTGGGTGGGAGCTTGGCTGTGTTCTGATTGGGTGGAGGTGTGTTCTGATTGGTTAAGGAGCTTGGCTGTGCTCTGATTGGATGGGG